TTTACGTAAGATCTCATCCCAGGTGCTGCTGCCTGCATGCTGCCTGCAGTGTAAACCACAACAGGGCTTCTCGGAGATTGTGACTAGTAAGACCAGCAGTAATAGCCCCATTAGTGGATGGATGACCATGTCTAGCATGTAAAAAGGCCTTACAACAAAACAAACCTTTTCTTTTTGTTCTTTGAATGCCAGTGGTCTTCGTCTGACATTGCTCTTTTTTTGAGAGCTGTGGTTCCAATCCTGGAGGAAGAGTGCTGGCTGAGTGCTGCTGACTTGTACCTGATCAGCCAGGCTTGTGTTTGACAGCACACCATCACCACCACATCCTTTTGGGTCACAGGGTAAGAAAACACAGCACACACAGGCTGCTACTGCAAAGTGGTGACCACAAGCAGTTTTAAGCTCGAGTGACAGCTGTGGGCAAAGGGAACCCCCCACCCAATACTGACTCCAGTTTTCTGTTTCTAATCCCCCAGCCTTTTTTCTCCCAACACCCGAGGTCTTTTTCTGTAATCCCTTTGGGGTTATTGCCCCCGCACACATGCTCCTGGAAATTTGGTGTTCAGTTTTGGCTTTCCATTTCTGTGGGCTGCATGCCAGTGTTTTGCACAGCACAAACACCAAAGGCTGCCCCAATACCTGCGGTTGGTCACCAGCTGGCTTGGAGCTGTGTGTGGACACCTCCTGGTCAGCCACGGGCCTGTCCCTGAGTCCCAGCCAGGTGCAGGTTATGTGCAGCCCATGGGGTCAGGGCTAACCCTGATCTTGCCTTTTCTTCTTGTTTCATTTTCTGTTTGCAGTTAAATTTTAATAATTAAGTTAATGTCTTATTACATAATCTTTTCTAGAATCGTTATATTATCATAAAAACCAATCACAGAACAATCACAGGGTTGGAAAGGACCTTAAAGCTCATCTCATTCCATCCCCCTGCCATGCTCAGGGACACCTTCCACTATCCCAGGTTGCTCCAAACCCCATCCAACCTGGCCTTGGACACTTCCAGGGATGGGGCAGGTGCAGATTCCCTGGGCACCTGATACACCCAATATGTTCTGCAAATAAAAAAAAACATATGGAAGTGCACCTGTATTTGTATAATATATTTGTACACATTTGTACAGCTTCCCATATGTAGAGATAGATGTGTATAAATATCTCTCTGTCTAGCAGGTCATGTCAGTGCCACCCTGGAGCTGCACAGCTGGTGGCCTCTGCCACCCACCCTGGGCTTGTGCTCACTGCTGTGCTTGGTACAGCCCCCAGGAGAAAGGTGCTCTGACTCTGGGAGGAGACAAATAAAATACACGTTACTGGAGGGACTGTGAGAAGGAAATGGGGAATAGCAGGAACAGCCTTATGCCCCTGCTGTTGTGATCTTTAGGGTCTTCCTAAGGATACTGTAATTTGCAGTTTACATCAGTAAGCTTTTCAGTTAGTAGAAAGATCCTTATATACACAGTCATTACAATAATCAGCCATACAAGAGTAGCAATAAGTAAAAAACCTGTTGGGTGTGGGAGTAGTTGTATAACAGCAGCTGTTGGAGCTAAATCCACAAAGGTGTCCCACCATCAGGCAGCAGCAGGAGCCGCTTGCCTTGTGGCACAGATGAGGTGCTGATTCTGAGGTAACACTTGTACTCCTACAGCATCACATGGCACACGTCTACACCAACAACAGAATGTTGCTGTTCTCCATCACACTGCTGTTCAGTTTCTATCAATGACTGTATGTTATCTTCTAAATTTCTTGTGAACCACAGAGTGCTGTTATGGAAACCACCTGCTCTTGGTCCGAGGAGGGCCCGCGTTTGGGCCGCACACAAGGAGTGCTTGGCAGACGCTGAGTCAGGTGTGATGTATGGAATTACCCAATGATCTCTGTCATTGAGGATGTATTCAAATAAGATTTATTTTATAAACCAGATAAACCAATGAAAGCTCCAACAACATTAGAATACAGATTTGCGCTCTCAAGTGGAACTGGAACTACCCAACTGTAAGAATTCTCATGATTTCAGAAGGGTAACCCAGAATGCACAATCCCTCACGCAATGAGGGCTCTCAGCCTTGAGGAGTTTCCTCGGGGGAGCCCCTGTCTGCTGACCCTCAGCTCCGAGGAGGAGCAGCTCCACTGATCCCCGCTGGGGCTCGGTCTGTAGCCCCATTGAATGTGATCTGTGGTCAGATACAGTCACGTTACCCCTCACTGAGCGAGGTCTGACCTCCTGCCCCACCACAGCCACCACGCGGGTGTGATGGGGCTGGTCGTGCCGGCCAGCCGGGACATGGCCCGCTCACCGGCCGGAGGGGCTGGTCCTTGCTGGGACGGGTGCACTGCCACACCCTCACACAAACATTATCATGACACTCGTGAATTGGGGGAGTACTACAAACCCCAGTGTGGCCTATGGGAATGACACAAAGTCAACCATCCCAGCTGGTGACAACTGTGACATTATCTGATAAAGCTGTTGAGGTACATGTGATGGGAGGGTTAACTGCTGGATTACAGCCGTGAGAAGGGACATGAGAGGGTATCCTGAGGACAAGGTGGACCCAAAGTTCCAAAGATGTTGGGATACTAAAGTCAGCTGATCCAGTGCAGATAGAAACAGACGGAGGCCAATCCCTCTCCTTAAAAAAATACCCAGTATCTCAGGAAGCAAGGAAAGGTATAAGATCAGTAACTGAAGATTTTCTGAAAAAAGTGATGTCAATTCTTCATGAGTATCCTGTAATACTCCTGCCTTGCCTGTTAAAAAACCTAAACTAGGCCTGGATGGAAAAATAGTTCATAGATTTATCCAAGACTTAAAAGAAATTAATTAATGGGTAACTGTACTGCAGCTAGTAGTTCCTGATCCTTCGACAATGATAACCATGATGCCTTGGCTAATGCCAGTTGATTTGTGTGCAGCCTTTGTCCTGTTCTAGTGCATCTGGAATCTCTGTATATTTTTGCTTTCACCTGGGAAAGGAAACAGTCAACGTGGACTAGATTCCAACATACCTGGTGGTTGTGTTATGTGTGGTCCACACAAAAGAAATGTAGAGCTATCATTTCAGAGGTTCATCTGTGCCTAATTGTGCCTGATTATCCCCCTACATCAAAGGTCTTTCCTATGCACAACACAACCACCTTTCCCGCTCGGTGCAGCCTGATGTTACGGCCCCGTGAGCCATCGGCTCCACTCCGAGTTCCGTGCCCCACAACTCAGTGATGTGCAAACCCCACCGTGCAGTCCTCTGTGCCACAGAGGAGCTTTGGAGTGGCCAGAGAGCAGGAGTATCCAGCACTTCACATGGGCTGATACACAACACCCAGCAAATGAAAGCTTTGGTGAATCCTGGGTGGGGCTCCACAGGTTCTGCATGAGGCAAAGAGAAATCATTTCATACTCCGCAAATCCTGGGGGACGTGGTAAGGGGTGTCTGCTTGTCCTTCCAAGATGATATTTGTGGTCCACGTGCCACAATTTCTGCAGGGATGGATCTTCCCTACTGAGAGCCAGAAGACTGCAGGCGGGCAGGCAGCTGGGAGGGGACACAGCCAGGACAGCTGACCCCGGCTGACCAAAGGGGTATTCCAGACCATGTGCTGTCATGGTCAGCAAGAAAAGCTGAAGGAAATGAGCTGGTGAAGTCCAACAGTTGTTGGGCTGAAGTGAATTTAACAAGGGACAAGTGGCAAAAGCCGCCTTTGGCGACCAGCCCAGAGGCCCATGTATCCTTGGCATAGACTGTTTCAGGGGAGGGTAATTCAAGGACCCAAAAGGGCACTGCTGGGCCTTTGCTGTAGCTGTTGTGGGCACAGAGAAAATTAAGCAGCCATCTCCCTTGCCCGGCCTCTTGGAGGACGCCTCTCTTGTGGGGTTGCTGCAAAGTTGAAGAACAGCGGGTGCCAATGGCTCCTCCAGTGGTGCACTGGGGGCAATATCCCACTGAGTGACACTTCCCAGTTCCCATCCATGAGCTGATTCGTGGCCGTGATCAGCAGGACCCGCTCACAATTTAACTGCCCTGTATGGGCACCATGAAAGTCTGACAGGGGGGAGCTCACAGTGGGCCATCACGACCTGAACAAGTGTCGCTGTACCAGATGTGCTGGAGCTCCAGTACAAACTGGAGTCCAAGCAGCCCAGTGGTGCCGCAACTGACATTGCCCATGTGTTTTTGTCAGTGCCTGTGGCAGCAGTGTGCAAGCCACTGTTCGCTGTTATGTGGAGGGGTGTCCAGTACACCTGGAATCGACTGTCCCGGGGGGGGAAAGCACCACCTTCCCATTTGCCATGGACTGACTAAGGCTGCACTGGAAGAGGGTGATGCCCTGAATGTCTGCAGCACATCGGTGACATCATGGTTACAGATGCAGAATAAGGGCTGAGACCACCTCTCCTCAAGACTTTGTTGAGGGGACTTCTAGTCTGAAATCACAGGAATCCAACAGTGACCAGGAGCAGAGAGTCCCTGACCCTGGCTGGGAGGGTGAAAGGGACGGCCAGATTTACTGTGCTATGTGGATTCAATGGCCTGGCACGTGTGGTCCATGGAGTACGGGGCTGGAGGGGGACAGATACAGGGTGTGCCCTAATGCCATCAGGGTGCAAGGCCTGCACCCCTCGGGTCAGCGCCTGCCTCGGTCGCTGCCCGCGTGGCTCGAGCTGGACGGGCCCAGCTCTGCCTCTGGGGCGGCAGCGGCTCCTCAGCCCGAGGCTCCCGGGGCGGCCGTGCCCGGGGCGGGGAAGCTGCAGGCGGGGCGGGCGCGGCCCCTTTAAGAGGGAGCGCAGAGCGGCGGAGCCAGGCGCGGCTGCGGCCGCTCGGCGCATGCGCACATCCTGACCCCGCGACTTATTCGGTGCCGCCGGCGCGGGGCCCGCGAGCCGGGGCGGGGAGTGGCGCTGCAGCACGGCCGCGCATGCGCAGGGCGCGGCCCCGCCGTGCGCTTTGTGGCGCTGCCGGAAGCGGGCGCGGGCCGAGCGCAGCGAGCGGCGCTCCTGGTCCCGCTGCCGGAGCCGAGCGGCCGCGGCCCCGGCGGCCTGAGGGAGCGGCCCGGCCCGACATGCCTGCCGGGCCCTCGGCGCAGGTAAGGCGGCCGGGCCTCTCGCCGCGGCGCCGCCGAGCGCGGGGCCTGTGGCGCGGGCGCCGCCTGGAGCCTCCGCTGCGCTGACCTCTGTACTGCCGCTGCGGGGCCCGCGCGGGCCGGGCGGGGCCGCGCCTTCCCCGGGGCTCTCCCCGCGCCGAGCCGGGGCTGCGGGGCGGGCGGAAGCGACCCCCGGGGACTCCTGCGGCCCAGGGCCCCCCTCGGCCGTGCCCCCGCCCCGGGAGCGGTGGGAGGTGTCACCTCGCCTTCCTCCCGTGCGGGCCCTGCGAGCGGGGCCTGGCCTGGGGCAGCGCAAAGTTTGTGTCGCTGCTCCCCGCAGACTCCGACCGCGGCCCGGGGGTGCCGAGCGTGCCCGGCCCGGGCTGGGCCTCCAGGGCTCGGCCGGGGTTCTGCTCCCCCCGCCTCGCTCGGTCTCCGGGGCCTACGGGCATTTATTGCTATTTATTTGGCGAGCAGTAGATGTAGCGAGGCTTCTCCCCAGGCCAAGGGTGTTGTGGCTGCGGGAGAGTCCTTCTTGGGCAGTTTGTAGAGTCCCACGTGAAACTGGACTGAGAAAGAAGTGAAATTGTAAAATAAACTGTTGAGTAAAAATTATTCTCAGTCTGAGTCAGGCAAATGCATTGTTCGTGGTTGAGTTTGTTACATGGTTTTTGGCAGAAATGAGGGGTGCGAAAACTTATTAAATTCTCAGATGACCTGCCTGGGAGATAATTTTCTCGACCCTTCTGTTAAAAACGAGTGATGGTGAGAAGCAAAGTAGTAGACTGAGTAACAAAGTTTGAAAACAGAGTAACAACCAAAACATACAAAACTGACTGATGTTTTTGCTTTCCTATTCTGCTAATCTTCAGCTATTACAGTGGGCAGCTTCTGGGCAGTGGCTTCCCCCTGCTCCCTGCCTTGGTTGGTGCCCAGCAGTGTTCCCGGGAACCAGGAGGGGGTGATGGGGACAGCGAGACCCCAGCCTTGTGGCTTAAATGGCACCTTGCGTTTGAGACCCAACCTTCCCTGTGGCACAGTCATGTATTAATTTCTGCTACAGTAAGGCAATAAAATCTGACAAATTCATCTTCCCTGAGCAAAGGTAGTTGGGATTCTCTTCTCTTACACTCTGTAGCTCCGTGGCTGAATGGCCTGGGAAAGGATCACAGGAGTTCTTGTTTTTTCTGTGCCTGATCTCTTCCTTCCTGACCTTTTTTTCATTTAATAGTAATCCTGACATGCATATTCATTTATTTTTTAACAAAATACTCACTTAAAATGCCAACTTTGTGCTAGTCTTTCTCTCAGATAGGTCTTCTGTTTGGCTCTTGCTATTTTTATTTTTTGCCTGCTCCCTGCCTGTTATCCTTTACACACAGTGTGTGCCTTGAGGAGAGCTGACCTGTTGGATGGCTCTAACAAAGAGCTGTGCTTTGTCTGTCCTGGTGGGCTTAATACCAGAGGTGCTGAGTTAGGCTGAGCTACATGGAGGTCACTTTCTCCAACATGAACTTGCAGAGTGCTGAGACAAGTGGGCACATGGCAGCTGTCTGTTCTCAGGATGTCACAGACCTGAGGAAAATTGCTCATAAACCTCCCTGCTGTGTGCTTTGGGGAAGGCAGGTTGTGGTAGGATGGCTTTTTGGCAAAAATTGTTTACTCTAGAGAGCAGATGTTGGTACTGTTGGATAGGAGAGGTCGTGTTAATGGCAGGGATTTCTTGCTTTCTGGGAAATGCTTACAGAGCGTATCTAATATTGCAGAACTTTGATGTAGACCCTTTATGTGGATGCTTCTCTGGTTTAGGTTCAATTAGGCCTTCAGCCTTCCTTGAGTATCTCTGCTGATGGTCTTTGCATCTACTGTACTACTGACCACTGCCTCTGCTCTGATTTTTTGGTTCTACTAAACCCCAGTATGGATCCACCTTTGGGACAGCTCGTCCTTGTGCTTGAAATTCTTTTGCGTTGTGGGCAAGCACTTCATTGTACATGTGAAGCTGCTGAGTGTGAAGGACTAAATGTTCCCGTTTGCCCCCAGCACTGCCCTCCCTCAGCACACGATTTCTGAGGAGCTGCTCCATACGCAGGGATTGAGTCCCTGACCTCTCCCCTGCACACACTCCAAACACCCCACCTGAACTTAGGCTCTGACCTACTGCCCCTTCCTTCAAAGTAACTGCAGAATGTGGCTGTGTTTACTTAGGTGATTCTCACTGTCTAACTTCAGTCATCCAGGAGTTTAAATATTTTGGCTGCAGATGTTCATATTAAGTTTTTGGGAACTGGAAATAGAACTTTTTTTTTTATGGACTCATTACTATAAGTTCTTTCATGCTCACCAGCTTGAGAACCGAGGATCTTTGGTCTTAAATGCTGAAACATCCAATTTCAGTGGTTTATATGGTGATAGCTACTGAACCTCTTAAGCTGAAACAGATCTGGAGGAAATACATTGAAACTAGATTATTTACCACACTAAGGAATACTGGAATTGTGCTCGGTTTCTTAGTAGGTGATAAATATTTTAACTTCACATGTCTGCTTTGTTTTGCCAGTGTTAATGCTGACAATTTTTTTCCAGGTCTGTCTGTGGGAATCTGGAGATGTTTTATTTAGTGCAGCCTTCAGGAACATACAGTGAACATATAGTATACAAGAGTGTGTAAAACTGCTTGGTAAACTTCAGGGGTTTATTTACTCTTCTTTCACCCCTCCTCTTAATTAGCCTTCTGAGAATCCTTAATGATTTGAACTCTTATAAGACGTGTGTATGTGAAGTATGGTTATTCAGCTGCATGAAACTTGGGAGATATTAGTTGGGCCAGTGAGGGTCCTTTATGGAAGCTGAAGTACAGGAGTCAAAATCAGGGTATGCTATTGATGTGGTATGACAGTTGCTTTTTTTGTCTTCAATTTGCTGTTGCTGTTTCAGTAATGAGTGATAAATGCAGGCTCTATGAAGGGAGAGGGTCCTGCTGCTGCACAGCATTAGGTGCCTTTGGTCTAAGGCAAACTACAGAGCTGTCAGTGTGTGGAATCTGTCAGAGCACTTGCTCGGATACCATCGTGTGGGGAGACTTTCCAGCCTTTTTTAACTCATGTCCGGTTATAAGAAGCTGCACACTAGATGAGTTTAGCTGTACACCAATCCTAATAGATGGCAGCAATTTCCAATTCAAGTGGCAGTTCAAGTGGAGTCTTAAATGAAACTTCTAATCCTCACAAATAAAAACTTCTAACTGCTAAACGTAAGGGGCAAATAGATTGATATCCTGAGAAGTCCCCCTCATAAGGATTTTGCATCTGAAACAATTACTTGTTTCAGTACTCCTTGTGTATGGATAAGACTAACAGAAGATTTTCTTTTATGGCAAGACCAAAGGAAGCCTCAAATATTAATTTTGTGTATGATGGCCAGGCAGCAGGCTGTGCCTGTGTGGTACCAGAGGTTTTGGCTACCGTGTCCTGCTGCTAAACCGCTTAAACATGACATATTGTACAGATATTCTATACAGATATCCTGTATCTGTTACAAGTGCTGCTCCTTGGAAGTGTGGAAGGGTCACCCAGAAAGGCTTTGCATCTTTGCTTTATCATGGCAGGGAGCTGCATGAAGGTGGGTGGTTGTGTCCTAGTGCAATGAGAGTTTTCCAAAATGCAGTAGGATTTGGGAATCCTTGTCCTTTCTGAGTTTTGTGTTCTAGATGAGAAAACTTCTACACAGGCATTGCGTACAGTTTGCTTGGGCTGTGCTGCGTTTCCACACATCTGGGCACACTGCTCTGGGCCGAGGGAGAGCAGCCACAGAGGGAGAGCAGCCTGTGCTGTGCTTATCACATCTGATAAGCTCCTACCAGGAGCCGTTCACTTCAACCCTGCAGCCAGAGGGTGGCTATGGAAAGGACATGCTGCTTTATCAGTTCCAATCAGTTTATTTAAATCAGCCTCCTCAAATGGTGTTACCTGCTTCTAATGAACTTGTATCACAGGAGAGGGATGGAGAGTGCTTCCGCCCTTCCCTCGTAGGGAGCAGCAAAGCTGGGGGGCAGGGAGAAGAGACACTCTGCTCTGGGGGTAGAGGCACAGGGCTGTGGGACTGAGAGGAGAAGGGGAGGTCCTGGAAAGTGGATGATATCTCACTTCTGTCCCTTCTGCTTCAACTTCAGACAAGCTGGAGACTAAGATGGCGTTCAGGGGACAGAAGGGGTAAGATAAAGAGACTGTGGCTATAGGATATGAAAGGAGAAGTATGGAAACTTAGATAATGAAGCTAAGCAGAGACTGAAGCCATCACTGATGATTGTAGGATTTCGGGGCTTTTGTTTGTTTCAGGGCTTTTGTTTGTTTCGGAGGGTTTTTTTTGTAGTGGATATTTGGGTTTTTTATCCTGTTTTTTGGTTGGTTTTCTTTTGTTGTTTTGGGGTTTTTTTCTGTGTGTGTGATGGTTTGGTTTGGTTTTGGGTTTTTTTGTGTGTGACTTCTCTGTGTCATGGAATTGTTGTTTTTCTCTAAGCCTAAGAGTTTTGCCTGCAGTGATAGGAGCATCCCCCCTGCCCCAGCCTGCAGAGGAGGGAAGGGTGAAGGATGTAGGGGATGTGCTTCCTGCAGGCTGCTGCTGCTCTGGTTAATTCACTTTCAGTTGAGCACATGTGATTGCTACCTCAAACCAGAAAGGATGTAGTTTGGAAGACCAAGATCTTGCTGCTTCACTTTCCCTCCTCTCTTGAAGGGAATCGCCAGGATTTTTACATGGGTTTTGAGTGTAAATAAACACTTGGGGAGTCAGCTAAATATGCAGACCTGTTTAAATGGCGGCTTGTCCCTAGGAAGGTGTATTTCTAGGCCTGGCTTCTTTTTTGGTTTTGGGCCAAGGAGTGCCTAAGAGTTGTTCATAACATTCCCTGTATAACTAACTGGCTTCCAAATTGTGCCAGGCAAGTGTAGTTGGCAAACAGACCTTGGAGTGCCATTCGTGACAGCTTGAGCTGATCTAAGCTGTGGCTGTTGGACACTCCTAGCTTTTCTCCTGTGCCAACCCTGTGGTCAGCTGGCTCAGATAAGGGATAAAAGACTGCTGGTGCTGGTAGGAGAGGAGGAAAGGAGATGATGCAGTTGCAGTGCTCAGGCTGCCATGGTGCCACCTGCTCGAGCAGGAGTGTGATGTTGTTGTGAGCAGGTACAAAGCCTGCTGCTGTCAGAGGGTGCTCCTGCCACCCCTCTGGCCCTGGGTCCTCACTGCTCCATTGTGTTGGCACAGATGTTTGTCTCATCTGAGTTAGATCAGATCTTGATTCACCTAAAAGCTGTCTCAGCAGACAAAACTGGGTGCTGGCTTAGCTCTCTGGATGTTTTGATGTGTGGATCAAACCTGGCTGCGTGTGGCAGATCTCCCTGAGCTGAGGCTGGAGGGCATTCCCATGCCTGGCTGCTGCCCTGCCCCGGGGGGGCTCTACCTGGGTTCCAGCCCCGTCCCTGCACAGCAGTGGGTGCTGTGGGTGCTGCTGGGGACACAAGGGTGCTGCTTCCTGAGAGGGACTGTGGAAGCACAGCTTAACTTTTGCTGCTTCTAATCTCCTCCCTTGGTTGTGGTTTCACAGCAATGCCAAAAAACCCACCCTAAACCTCCACCACTGCAAAAACCTGGTTAGTTCATGGTCACTTGGCTTCCTGATCTCAGACTGCAGTGAGGGGAAAAGCACAACTGCAGTTGTGCTGGGATTGTTGCTGATTGGAGAACTGTGTCTCCTCTCTAGTTCTGAGAGTGCTCCCTGAGAAATTTCCTAGTGGCTTTTCTGTCTGGACTCTGTGGGACAAATGTAGATTTTTAGAGAGTGACTGTGTGTGTTGACTTTACAAGGATTTGAAATGCATTAGAGCATACCCCAATGCCTTAGGTTTGGAACATGTATATGATGAAACTGTAAAGTGATGCTGGGTTTAAGTTAGTGATGCACTAGGACTCAGTCAGTCCTGAACTCACTGCAGATAAAGGGCACTCTTCACTATCACTCAGTCACATTTTTCAACTACAAGTTTTGAGTAGTGCATGTTGTAGGAGAAATACCTTATGAATGTAAAAGAGGCTGAATTTTTGTCTTCTGAGATGACTCAGGTTTTCCTGAAAGTTCCCTGGTATCTATTTTTAACTACTATTGAGGTAAAAAAGGGAAAAAGGGATGAATTGCAGCCATTGCTTCTATGAGCAATATACTTGTAGAACTATTTTCTACTTAGCTGAAGATGCCATGTAAGTGAGAGCATCTTTCCTACAAAGATGAGGCAAGCAGAAGTGTGAGGTGAAGTCGCTTCTCAAGTTTAAGTGTCTCAAATGGGCTGATAGGCCCAAGCTGAAACTTTCTGTAATCTCTAATAAAGCTCTTGGCTATATTAAAACATATTAAGGTTGAAGAACAGCTGTTGGAATCTCTTCCTGGTCTTCAAATGTATGACGTGGACATGTGCATCTTGAATTTACAAGGGTCTGGATTGTGACACACAGCCTCAGTTTGGTAACTCATGTCACAGACATTTCTACTAATCGTCTTTTTTCCTTCCTTGCCCCCCCAGGTGTTGTTTGGATTGTAGCATAGAGGCACTATGTACTCAGAGTGGAGATCCTTGCATCTTGTCATTCAAAATGATCAGGGGAATACCAGTGTACTTCACAGCTATCCTGAGAACGTGGGGAGAGAAGTGGCAAATGCAGTGGTGCGTCCGCTTGGACAAGCTTTAATTACATCATCTGTTGGAAGTGAGAGTTTACTAAAAACAGACAAAGAAGTAAGTGCATTTCTTGGAGATCATAGCTTTCAGAGTGGCAACTTAATGGTTTTCTATAGCCTCTTTTATTTTTCTCTTTTTAATAGTCCAAGTTTTATGAAATGTGTTACATTTTTAGGTTACTAATCTACATAAGGCTTCTATTAACAGGTAGTTCATCAGCTCTTGTGTGTTCCGAAGAACTCTCTCTACAGGTTAGACTTAAGAGATTCAGGATTTCAGAGTGATTTGTAGTTTATTCATATTCTTCATAATATCATGATGTACAAGTTAGTGGTTTAGCGTTTTCTTGCAGGATATGTTAAATAGAATTGCCCATACCACATAACTACTTTTGTTGAGTTAGAACCAATGTGCTCTGACCATTATTTACTTGCTAATATTTCTTTTTAATAACTTTTGCTTTGTGTTTGGTAGGTAAAATGGACTATGGAGGTGGTTTGTTATGGACTGACTCTCCCTCTGGACGGCGATACTGTGAAATACTGTGTGGATGTATATACAGATTGGATTATGGCTCTTGTGTTACCTAAGGACTCCATTCCTTTACCTGTTATTAAGGAACCAAACCTTTATGTTCAAAGCATTCTCAAACATCTCCAAAATCTCTTTGTACCGAGGTGAGTGTTAGGGCTGGGGTACTCAGGAGGCTGAGGGAGTCCAAGCTGTAGTCAGGAGATAACCTGTCAGAGACCTCGTGAGGCACAGAGGTTCATGACTAAAATAAGACTGGGTTTGCTGCAAGATTAGGAGGAACATGTTTGTCCACACCTGTTCTGTAATTTTCAGTAGCAAATTGAATTGTTGCTGCTAGGTTTAGGTAGTCAGAATCACAGATCATTCATAGACTTTAATGTTTACTGTCCTAAGAAGATCTGTCTCTGTTGGATGACTGGAGGGCGGGGGAAAGGCTGAAGAGCATCACTGTGCAACCGTGTGCTTTTTATTGTGTAAAACTGAGATAACCAAGAGCACCTCATGGCAGTCCCAGCCTTTGGTGATGCAAGATTTGACCCCCTTTCTGATGTGCTGGAGGATCTTGCAGTAAGTGACTGCTTTGTGACTGCATCTTGCTGCCTCTTAAATGGGCATGGTTATGCTGACTGTGCTTCACTGGTAGTTTTGAAAGAATCCCATGGAAGTGTGCTTGCTGCCTGACATCCTTGGATGTTGATGGTAAATAGACATGTTTCTACATCTTGGATCCGAGTGCTCAAACATCATACCTTGTTTATAATTTATGGCAAGTTTACCTGCTACTGTTGAACACGTGTATCAGATATGTAAGAGGAGATTCACTTGACTTCAGGTCGATGTTTAGTATATGTCCATAAGTATCAGATCATCTGCTTTTATCAGTATTAATAATATATCACTGCAAGTGGACTTCAAAGTGCTCTGCTGCACTTGGGTCACTCCACTTTACCTGCAGGCTTTGTTAATAAAGGACTTTGAATAAT